TCACGACTCAAGTCCAAATTATGAATAGAAAAAACATACAACTCTTCAGTGTTTTCAGGCTTACTAAATCAACCGAGTCACGAAGATTAGCTTAAATTTTGAATACAACATCGTATGATCTCATTTCGAGTTGCAATGGGTTCCCTATGCAAAAATACACAATTCTCGTTCACGACTCAAGTCCAAATTATGAATAGAAAAAAACATACAACTCTTCAGTGTTTTCAGGCTTACTAAATCAACCGAGTCATTAAGATTGACTTAAATTTTGAATACGACATCGTCTGATCTCATTTCGAGTTCCAATGGGTTCCTTATGCAAAAATACACAATTCTCGTTCACGACTCAAGTCCAAATTATGAATAGAAAAAAACATACAACTCTTCAGTGTTTTCAGGCTTACTAAATCAACCGAGTCACGAAAATTGGCTTAAATTTTGAATACGACATCGTATGATCTCATTTGGAGTTGCAATGGGTTCCCTATGCAAAAATACACAATTCTCGTTCACGACTCAAGTCCAAATTATGAATAGAAAAAAACATACAACTCTTCAGTGTTTTCAGGCTTACTAAATCAACCGAGTCATTAAGATTGACTTAAATTTTGAATACGACATCGTCTGATCTCATTTCGAGTTCCAATAGGTTCCCTATGCAAAAATACACAATTCTCGTTCACGACTCAAGTCCAAATTATGAATAGAAAAAACATACAACTCTTCAGTGTTTTCAGGATTACTAAATCAACCGAGTTACGAAGATTGGCTTAAATTTTGAATACGACATCGTATGATCTCATTTCGAGTTGCAATGGGTTTTCTATGCAAAAATACACAATTCTCGTTCACGACTCAAGTCCAAATTATGAATAGAAAAAAACATACAACTCTTCAGTGTTTTCGGGCTTACTAAATCAACCGAGTCACGAAGATTGGCTTAAATTTTGAATGCGACATCGTATGATCTCATTTCGAGTTGCAATGGGTTCCCTATGAAAAAATACACAATTCTCGTTCACGACTCAAGTCAAAATTATGAATAGAAAAAAACATACAACTCTTCAGTGTTTTCAGGCTTACTAAATAAACCGAGTCACGAAGATTGGCTTAAATTTTGAATGCGACATCGTATGATCTCATTTCGAGTTGCAATGGGTTCCCTATGCAAAAATACACAATTCTCGTTCACGACTCAAGTCCAAATTATGAATAGAAAAAAACATACAACTCTTCAGTGTTTTCAGGCTTACTAAATCAACCGAGTCACGAAGATTGGCTTAAATTTTGAATGCGACATCGTATGATCTCATTTCGAGTTGCAATGGGTTCCCTATGCAAAAATACACAATTCTCGTTCACGACTCAAGTCCAAATTATGAATAGAAAAAAACATACAACTCTTCAGTGTTTTCAGGCTTACTAAATCAACCGAGTCACGAAGATTGGCTTAAATTTTGAATGCGACATCGTATGATCTCATTTCGAGTTGCAATGGGTTCCCTATGAAAAAATACACAATTCTCGTTCACGACTCAAGTCAAAATTATGAATAGAAAAAAACATACAACTCTTCAGTGTTTTCAGGCTTACTAAATCAACCGAGTCACGAAGATTAGCTTAAATTTTGAATACAACATCGTATGATCTCATTTCGAGTTGCAATGGGTTCCCTATGCAAAAATACACAATTCTCGTTCACGACTCAAGTCCAAATTATGAATAGAAAAAAACATACAACTCTTCAGTGTTTTCAGGCTTACTAAATCAACCGAGTCATTAAGATTGACTTAAATTTTGAATACGACATCGTCTGATCTCATTTCGAGTTCCAATGGGTTCCTTATGCAAAAATACACAATTCTCGTTCACGACTCAAGTCCAAATTATGAATAGAAAAAAACATACAACTCTTCAGTGTTTTCAGGCTTACTAAATCAACCGAGTCACGAAGATTGGCTTAAATTTTGAATACGACATCGTATGATCTCATTTGGAGTTGCAATGGGTTCCCTATGCAAAAATACACAATTCTCGTTCACGACTCAAGTCCAAATTATGAATAGAAAAAAACATACCACTCTTCAGTGTTTTCAGGCTTACTAAATCAACCGAGTCACGAAGATTAGCTTAAATTTTGAATACAACATCGTATGATCTCATTTCGAGTTGCAATGGGTTCCCTATGCAAAAATACACAATTCTCGTTCACGACTCAAGTCCAAATTATGAATAGAAAAAAACATACAACTCTTCAGTGTTTTCAGGCTTACTAAATCAACCGAGTCATTAAGATTGACTTAAATTTTGAATACGACATCGTCTGATCTCATTTCGAGTTCCAATGGGTTCCTTATGCAAAAATACACAATTCTCGTTCACGACTCAAGTCCAAATTATGAATAGAAAAAAACATACAACTCTTCAGTGTTTTCAGGCTTACTAAATCAACCGAGTCACGAAGATTGGCTTAAATTTTGAATACGACGTCGTATGATCTCATTTGGAGTTGCAATGGGTTCCCTATGCAAAAATACACAATTCTCGTTCACGACTCAAGTCCAAATTATGAATAGAAAAAAACATACAACTCTTCAGTGTTTTCAGGCTTACTAAATCAACCGAGTCATTAAGATTGACTTAAATTTTGAATACGACATCGTCTGATCTCATTTCGAGTTCCAATGGGTTCCCTATGCAAAAATACACAATTCTCGTTCACGACTCAAGTCCAAATTATGAATAGAAAAAACATACAACTCTTCAGTGTTTTCAGGATTACTAAATCAACCGAGTTACGAAGATTGGCTTAAATTTTGAATACGACATCGTATGATCTCATTTCGAGTTGCAATGGGTTTTCTATGCAAAAATACACAATTCTCGTTCACGACTCAAGTCCAAATTATGAATAGAAAAAAACATACAACTCTTCAGTGTTTTCAGGCTTACTAAATCAACCGAGTCACGAAGATTGGCTTAAATTTTGAATACGACATCGTATGATCTCATTTGGAGTTGCAATGGGTTCCCTATGCAAAAATACACAATTCTCGTTCACGACTCAAGTCCAAATTATGAATAGAAAAAAACATACAACTCTTCAGTGTTTTCAGGCTTACTAAATCAACCGAGTCACGAAGATTAGCTTAAATTTTGAATACAACATCGTATGATCTCATTTCGAGTTGCAATGGGTTCCCTATGCAAAAATACACAATTCTCGTTCACGACTCAAGTCCAAATTATGAATAGAAAAAAACATACAACTCTTCAGTGTTTTCAGGCTTACTAAATCAACCGAGTCATTAAGATTGACTTAAATTTTGAATACGACATCGTCTGATCTCATTTCGAGTTCCAATGGGTTCCTTATGCAAAAATACACAATTCTCGTTCACGACTCAAGTCCAAATTATGAATAGAAAAAAACATACAACTCTTCAGTGTTTTCAGGCTTACTAAATCAACCGAGTCACGAAGATTGGCTTAAATTTTGAATACGACGTCGTATGATCTCATTTGGAGTTGCAATGGGTTCCCTATGCAAAAATACACAATTCTCGTTCACGACTCAAGTCCAAATTATGAATAGAAAAAAACATACAACTCTTCAGTGTTTTCAGGCTTACTAAATCAACCGAGTCATTAAGATTGACTTAAATTTTGAATACGACATCGTCTGATCTCATTTCGAGTTCCAATGGGTTCCCTATGCAAAAATACACAATTCTCGTTCACGACTCAAGTCCAAATTATGAATAGAAAAAACATACAACTCTTCAGTGTTTTCAGGATTACTAAATCAACCGAGTTACGAAGATTGGCTTAAATTTTGAATACGACATCGTATGATCTCATTTCGAGTTGCAATGGGTTTTCTATGCAAAAATACACAATTCTCGTTCACGACTCAAGTCCAAATTATGAATAGAAAAAAACATACAACTCTTCAGTGTTTTCGGGCTTACTAAATCAACCGAGTCACGAAGATTGGCTTAAATTTTGAATGCGACATCGTATGATCTCATTTCGAGTTGCAATGGGTTCCCTATGAAAAAATACACAATTCTCGTTCACGACTCAAGTCAAAATTATGAATAGAAAAAAACATATAACTCTTCAGTGTTTTCAGGCTTACTAAATAAACCGAGTTACGAAGATTGACTTAAATTTTGAATACGACATCATATGATCTCATTTCGAGTTGCAATGGGTTCCCTATGCAAAAATACACAATTCTCGTTCACGACTCAAGTCCAAATTATGAATAGAAAAAAACATACAACTCTTCAGTGTTTTCAGGCTTACTAAATCAACCGAGTCACGAAGATTGGCTTAAATTTTGAATGCGACATCGTATGATCTCATTTCGAGTTGCAATGGGTTCCCTATGCAAAAATACACAATTCTCGTTCACGACTCAAGTCCAAATTATGAATAGAAAAAAACATACAACTCTTCAGTGTTTTCAGGCTTACTAAATCAACCGAGTCACGAAGATTGGCTTAAATTTTGAATGCGACATCGTATGATCTCATTTCGAGTTGCAATGGGTTCCCTATGCAAAAATACACAATTCTCGTTCACGACTCAAGTCCAAATTATGAATAGAAAAAAACATACAACTCTTCAGTGTTTTCAGGCTTACTAAATCAACCGAGTCACGAAGATTGGCTTAAATTTTGAATGCGACATCGTATGATCTCATTTCGAGTTGCAATGGGTTCCCTATGCAAAAATACACAATTCTCGTTCACGATTCAAGTCCAAATTATGAATAGAAAAAAACATACAACTCTTCAGTGTTTTCAGGCTTACTAAATCAACCGAGTCACGAAGATTGGCTTAAATTTTGAATGCGACATCGTATTATCTCATTTCGAGTTGCAATGGGTTCCCTATGAAAAAATACACAATTCTCGTTCACGACTCAAGTCAAAATTATGAATAGAAAAAAACATACAACTCTTCAGTGTTTTCAGGCTTACTAAATAAACCGAGTTACGAAGATTGACTTAAATTTTGAATATGACATCATATGATCTCATTTCGAGTTGCAATGGGTTCCCTATGCAAAAATACACAATTCTCGTTCACGACTCAAGTCCAAATTATGAATAGAAAAAACATACAACTCTTCAGTGTTTTCAGGCTTACTATGTCACGCCCCGGACCTCCCCGGACACGTCAACAACCCGCCGTACAATACGAATAGTCAACCGCAGTCCAACACATTCATATTATACAAGGCGTCATGAATATCATTCACACATAAGTCATCCATAAACATACATAATAAACAATTGAATACGCAGCGGAAAACATTGTTTAAAACAAAAGGGCCACACAGGGCGAACATGAGCACGCAGGCTCTAAAGTAAAATATCCATGAGCAAGTTTAATATTATTTAAAAACAGAATGGAGGAAGCACGAACCAAGTCTTCTTTCCAAGGAATCACTCGATCAACGAGCACAGGAAGCAAGCTCTAGCCTCAACCTGAAATGGTGGTGGGACGCCCCCGAAGGGGTCAGTACTCTATACGGCTATAAAGTACTGGTGTGGCAGGCATCTAATAGATATACAACAAGTATTTCAAACACAAGACCCTCAAGTAGGGTGATAGTACATTATGATTGTAACCCTAAGTTACCCCGTTTAAAAATATACTTACTTTATATAAAAGTCAAGTAGTCGGCCCGTGGGCCCGTTTTCATTTGGAAATCACCATTACCAACCCCGTGGCTATAAGCCACGACAACTCCTAGAGTCCAACCCTAGTACATGACATTGTATTCTAGAGCTCGGCTCTACCACATCACCATACAATTCATATACCTCGGGTCAATTTCCTTACCTTGCGTTCTAGAGCTCGGCTCTACCACATCACCACGCAAGTCCTAGAGCTCGGCTCTAGCTATACAATACATAGACTCCAAGTCTACCCTTACATGCATTCTAGAGCTCGGCTCTATCACATCACCATGCATTAAGGTCCAATTCTCAAGCAATCCCTATGCCTAGAATTGACATATCATTAAACTACCATGGGTCATCCTTAAAGACTTCCCATAACTTAACCTTAGTTCCATACTAAGTTATTATATACACTTGAACTATATTCAAGCACCTTTCATACAATCCAATCCCTAGGATCAATTTAATCAATAAATCCCAATAATCATTAACTAGTATTTCAATACTATTAAGATTATTGTTATCAAACCATTATCCTTGTTATTTGTAATTCTCTACATATTTATAATTATGTAGCAGCAACTTAAACATTCATTCTCAATACACAAATATTCATTTATGTATCCACATAATTCATTCATGAGAAAAATGCCCATTTTCACAAATAGTTCATTTATACTCATTTAATCTCATATTATTCATACCTTCTCAAATCATTTCAAATTTCATTCTTTGGCAACTATATCAATATTTCATCAATATATAGCCATCATAATCCATGAAAAATCATGATTTAAGCATTTAGGTAATCTCATGCTTAACCTACAAGTTGTAAGCAATTAGATGTCAATCCTCACCTCAATTGAGCTTTAAACTTTCCCTTCTTGGTCCAATGGTCAAATCTTTGGTCAAGGTGGATTTGGGACTGATTCCTTGCTCAAATATGAGTGTTAAACAGCCTCCTCAAAGTGCTAGTTCAACCCTTAATCGTTGATACGAAAACAGCCCCTAGAACGGGTGTTTTCCGGCTAACTCGATTCCTAGTTTTCCAATATTTGCATCTAGGTTAGTATCTAACCTTTACATCAATAAGATAACTTTTTAGGGACATATTATACACTTGGATTAGTGTATAATAGTCTCACCAATCGTTCATATCATTTGGAGAATGAAAAGTAAAGCTTTGGGGTTAAAACTCACTTTAGAAGATTAAATCCTCTCCTGCGAGGTTGTGTTTTGCTCGGACGATTTGGAAGCCTTCCACAACTCCGATTCCTGCAAACCAGACCTTCACGGATTCCTCGTCTTGAGAGCTTTCTGTGGGTATCTCACACGCCTTAATTGGACTTGTAAAACTCGAGATATTGACCAAACAGTCTCAGCACTCTCACAGCTCGAGTTCACAGACCTCTGCTCGTTCCAGCTCGATTTTTGTAAGATAAGCCTTCTCTCCTAGAACAAAGACCACTCAATTGAGATAATAGACTTCAAAGGCTATCCAAGGACATATTACTCACGTTGTTTGGTCGAGTATAGCTTCTATAATGAGAGGAGACAAACAGCACACCAATTTGTGCGAAAATAAGGATGGTGGCCCAAGCTTTGATTCCTATCAAGTCATGTGCAGCTCCCCTCCATTATGGCCGGCCAAGGTAGGTCTTCTAACCCATTTTTATTTGTTTTGCAGGTACTAATATCATGTGGAGTGGTTCCCAATTGATCCCATTAATTTGGGGTCCAAAATATCTACCAATACTTCCAAAAATGGGAAGATGAGTCCTATTGTTTTATCTTTGTCAAAGATGTCTTTTTGTACTCATCCTAATTTATTTAGAACAAGTCAACTTCCTAAATCACATTATTGATCTCCAATATGTGTAGGCTCATCCCAATAATTTACTTGATGGATATTTTAGAAGGAAAATCCTACTCCCATTATTTAGCTCAATAATGCCAAAGATGGGGTTATAGACATTTGTATTCTCCTTTAATCATTCTTTCACTATTTAGGTAATGTTGGGCTTTCTTATTTATTAATAAGTCCCGAGTAAGTATTTGCGAAACCCGACACTAATGTACGAGTTTGAACAATACGATATTCAATCACGTACTTCGTAAAATATTAATCGTTTCTCCCATTGTTTTGAAATCGGAAATTCAATACATCACTTTTGAATTTTTAAATCGAATTTTCAAGGACGTTCGGGTGCGGTGTCACAAGTTCACCCCCCCTTAACAGGAATTTCGTCCCCGAAATTCACAGCTCTACTCGAATAAGAAAGCATACTGCTTCCTCATCAAAGCCTCTGTTTCCCATGTCTCTTCCTCGACCCGATCGCTCTTCCACAGGACTTTAACCATTGGGACTTCTTTGCTCCTCAGCTTCTTCACCTTTCTATCGGTGACCTTGATAGGTTGAACAGCGTAGTTCAAATCCTCACGTACCTCCACAGGTGGCTTCTCCAGTACGTGAGAGGGATCATGCACATACTTCTTAAGCATGGATACATGAAACACATTATGTATCTTCTCTAACTCAGGAGTCAACTGTAGACGATATGCAACGGCCCCAATCCTCTCTATAATTCTGAATGGACCTATATATCGTGGGTTAAGTTTTCCTCGGGTTTGGAACCGAATGATCCCTTTCCAAGGAGAAACTTTCAAGAATACCTCGTCATCAACCTTAAACTCTAAGGTTCTTCGACGCTTATCTGCATAACTCTTTTGTCTATCCTGAGCCGCCTTGAGTCTCTCTCGAATCAACTTCACCTTTGATTTGGTGACCTCAACCAACTCAGTACCCTCGAGTTTGGCCATGCCAACCTCGTCCCAGCATAACGGTGTACGGCACCTCCTCCCATACAATGCCTCGTATGGAGGCATGCCGATGCTTGCCTGATAACTGTTGTTATAGGCAAACTCCACAAGTGCTAAGTGGTTGTCCCAACTTCCCTGGAACTCCAATGCACAAGCCCTCAGCATGTCTTCTAGGATCTGTATAACCCTTTCAGACTGCCCATCCGTCTGTGGATGGAAAGCAGTGCTGAACTTCAACCTCGTTCCCATAGACTCCTGGAATTTCGGCCAAAAACGTGATGTGAATCGTGGGTCTCTATCAGATACAATGGTCACCGGGACCCCATGCAGCCTCACGATCTCATCCGTATACAATTTGGCTAACCTCTCAAGTGGGTAGGTAGTGTTGATAGGCAAGAAGTGTGCACTCTTTGTGAGCCTATCCACAACGACCCAAACCGCGTCATAGTTCCTGATAGTCCGTGGTAAGCCTACCACGAAATCCATAGTCACGTGCTCCCACTTCCATTCAGGGATGGAGAGTGGTTGCAATAAGCCTGCTGGGTGCTGATGTTCTGCCTTAACTTGTTGACAAGTAAGGCACCGACTGATGTACTCGGCTATTTCCCTCTTCATTCCAGACCACCAGTAACTTTCCTTCAAATCACGGTACATCTTCGTGCCCCCCGGGTGCATGGCATAAGCCGATGAATGAGCCTCCTCTAAGATGGACTTTCGGAGCTCATCATCTGACGGTACACACACTCGGTCACGAAATAACAAGAGACCATCATCTCTTTCCCTGAAATCCTCCACCGGCCCCGCTTGCATGCGTTCCCGGACCTTCATAAGTTCTTCGTCGGCTTCTTGACCCTTCTTGATCTCATCAAGTAAAGTGGGTCTCACCTCAAATCGTGCCAATAAGGCACCATCGCTGGTTACCTCCAGTTGGGCTCTTAATGCCCTCAAATTAGTTATCAATGCCCCAGACGAGCTCTTCCGGCTCAAAGCATCTGCCACCACGTTTGCCTTGCCTGGGTGATACTCTATCACCAGATGGTAGTCTTTTATCAGCTCCATCCACCGTCTCTGTCTCATGTTTAGCTCTTTCTGAGTAAACACGTACTTCAAGCTCTTGTGATCAGTGTATATGTGACATGTCTCCCCGTAGAGATAATGTCTCCATATCTTCAGTGCAAATACCACTGCCCCGAGCTCCAAATCATGAGTAGGATAATTCACCTCATGCTTCTTCAATTGTCGTGAAGCATAGGCGATTACCCTCCCATTCTGCATCAGTACACATCCGAGCCCTTGGATGCTCGCATCGCTATAGACATCGTACCCCACACCTTGTTTGGGTAATGCAAGTACCGGTGCCTCAGTCAATCTCTTCTTTAGTTCCATGAACCCTTTCTCACATTTGTCATCCCATACAAACTTAGCTCCTTTACGAGTGAGCTTCGTCAATGGCGATGCCAAAACAGAGAACTTTTCCACGAACTTTCTATAGTAGCCTGCCAATCCAAGGAAACTACGAATTTCCTTGACGTTCTTTGGCCTCTCCCATTCAGTGATGGCTTCTATCTTCTTGTTATCAACAGCAATCCCCGATCCCGAAACCACGTGCCCGAGGAAGCCAATCTCCTTTAGCCAAAATTCACATTTAGAAAATTTGGCATAGAGTTGCTTCTCCCGTAGTGTTTCAAGAACAAGTATCAAGTGCTCCTCATGCTCTTCTTCACTCTTTGAGTAAATCAAGATGTCATCTATGAACACAATCACGAATCGATCCAAGTATTTATGAAATACTCGGTTCATCAAGTCCATGAATGCCGCCGGGGCGTTTGTTAACCCAAACGACATAACAAGGAACTCAAAATGCCCATACCTTGTGCGGAAAGCACTCTTTGGTATGTCATCTTCCTTAATCTTCAATTGATGGTACCCCGACCTTAAGTCAATCTTCGAAAACACGGTGGCTCCTCGTAGTTGATCAAACAAGTCATCAATCCTAGGCAACGGATACCTATTCTTGATTGTGACCTTGTTCAGTTGACGATAGTCAATGCACATTCGAAGTGTCCCATCTTTCTTTTTCACAAAAAGAACCGGTGCTCCCCACGGGGAGTGGCTTGGTCTAATGAAACCGTTATCCAAAAGCTCTTGCAATTGGGTTTTCAACTCGTTAAGTTCAGCGGGTGCCATCCGGTATGGCGGTATGGAGATTGGTTTGGTACCAGGCTCGACCTCGATCACAAATTCAATCTCCCTGTCAGGTGGAAGCCCCGGTAGGTCTTTAGGGAAGACATCCGGATACTTACAAACCACCCTCACATCATCGATGTTCGTTTCTTCTTTGGTTTTGTCAACCACGTATGCTAGATATGCGTGGCATCCCTTTCTCATCATACTTCTCGCTCTCACGGCGGATATGATGCAGCTATTTGATCTCCCTCGATCTCCCTCGAAGCGTAGGGTCTCCCCATCATTGCCTTCGAGTTCAAGGACCTTCGTGTAGCAATCTACCCTAGCATGGTTCCTTTCTAGCCAATCCATCCCTAGGATTGCATCGAATTCAATCATGCTCAGCGGTACGAAGTCACATGTCAAGGTTTGACCATTAACCTCCACCCCACAAGATGGATAGTAACAAGTTCTTTCCACGTCATCCCCTAGTGGTGTTGACACCACTAAGGTTTGCATCAATGGTGCGGATTGCACTCCCAACCTCTTGGCGAACGCTTCATTCACAAATGAACGTTGCGCCCCGGTATCGATAAGGATTCGCGCATCCTTCCCATTAATCTTTAGTGTTCCTACATTTATAAGTCATGTAAGATACCTTTCCTACCATTCTTACACATTTAGAGAGGTTTATTATGTTCACACATGTGTTTGGAATCAAGAAAAGGTCTTAATGTCGCAAAACGGTGCGAAAAAATCGGGTTTCGGCATTCTGGGTGCCAGGCACGGCGTGCCTGGGGTAGGCACGGTCGTGCCTGGCTTGGGAAAAAGCCCTGGGCGCTACTGCCTCCCAGGCACGACGCCAGGCACGGCGTGCCTGCGGCCGTGCCTGGCCCAAAAAATTTTTTTTTTTTCTTTCCTTCGGGTGCCACTGCCTTCCAGGCACGATGCCAGGCACGGCGTGCCTGCGGGCGTGCCTGGCCAGCAGTGGCTGTTTCCAGCCCGATTCGGCCTAACTCACCCAGTTTGACCCCGGGGTGGCCCGTACTCAATCCCAACGACGTATATGATTAAAATAAGCCTAGAAATGACCCGAATAAGTGTATTACCTGCGACGGAGTCGGGATTAGCCCGAGCATCAGCCTCGGTCATTGCGTAGACTCTAGCTTGCGTCCTTCCTTGATTCACGGACGGCGCGTTACTCGCGCTTGCTCCCCCTTGCCCCCTGGTTACTTGGGAACCCCCGGCTTGGTTTCTACTTCCCGCAGCCCCGCTACTTGGTCCCGATGTCCTTGCCCCACCCAACTGGGGGCAATGCGCCTTCAAGTGTCCGGCATCCCCACATTGGAAACATCTAGGGGGGTCGCGACACTTACCGGAGTGATTCTTCTTGCAATTGTTGCAACGAGTTATCACCGAGGTTTGTGACCTCGAGCCTTGCCCACTCGGGCCTTGGTTCCCCCTAGACGGTGGCGGTGGTGCCCGGAAAGATCCTCCTCCATGGTTCCCCTTTTTGTTGGAACCTTGGGAGCCATGACTCTCCCACTTTCTCTTTTTCGCCTCCTCGGCGTCTCTCTTCTTCCGTTCCTCCCACTGTTTCTCCCCTTTCAATGCTTGTTCAACCACTTGGGCGAAAGTCATATTAGGCAATTGCGTTGCCCTATCACGTATCTCCAAGTCAAGAGCGTCCCAAAAGTGGTTCACCATGCGGTTCTCGTCACAAGCATACTCCGGTATGTAGTCGGCGAGATCCCGGAACTTGTACTCAAGCTCCTTCACTGACATGTTACCCCCTTGGGTTAGGAGGGTGTATTCCCTCACCTTCTTATTCACCTCGAAATCAGAATAGTATTGGGCAAAGAACTCCCGTTGGAAGTCCTCCCAAACGACGGTCTCACCGTACTTGTTCTTGGTTCCATCCCACCACTTGGATGCCATCCCCTCGAGCAATCTTACCGCAATTCTCAGTTTGAGATTCGGCGCGATTTGCATGTCAAGGGCCGCTTCATTTAGCCTCTTGATCCATTGTGCTGCCACTGAAATGTCCCCTGCTCCATCAAAGGGTTTGCACCCCAAATCTCTTGCTTCTTTGATGTATTTGGAGATCCTTATGGTTGGACCTCCATCATTTTGGCCTCCACGTGGTTCCACATGGACTCTAGATGCACCATGACTTCCTCCTCGTGAAGCCATGCCCGAAGGTTGCCCAGCCCGGCGCCTTCGGCGTTCCCTCCTCTCTTCACGCTCACGGTGATATTGTTGGAGTAGTGCCTCAATCCGCGCTAAGGAGCCGTTGTCCTCCTCATCACTTACATCATCATCATCCCCTTCATAAGGGGTTTCAACCGGCTCAGTTTCCGGTTGGTAAGTCGAGTCCTCATAGGACCAGTAGGTCTCACTTTCCGTGTCAACATGACCGTCACTCACGGTCTGTGATCGGCCTCCACGGCCAACTCCTCTAGATGCCCTAGAGGTCCTTCGACTGCCCTGTCCAGTCTCCACTGGTACACGGCCCGTCGGGTTTCTCCTAGTAATCCTGCCACCACGGTCCATTTCTGAAAGAAATTTGGAAAGAGTCGTTAGACTCGTATCAAATGTCAATTGACGGATAGGTACTTAAGACACATTTTGGCTCGAGTCACCGCCATACCAATTGCTAAGGGTACCATCTTAACAATTAGAGACCTTGCAACCCAAGTACCAAAAGCTCTCCAAGTACAAGACTTCTATGCTCATGGTTTTCAAAATCTTTTCAAAAAGAGAATTTTGAGACTTCATTATGAAGTTTATGGACTAAGGCTCTGATACCAACTTAATTGTCACGCCCCGGACCTCCCCGGACACGTCAACAACCCGCCGTACAATACGAATAGTCAACCGCAGTCCAACACATTCATATTATACAAGGCGTCATGAATATCATTCACACATAAGTCATCCATAAACATACATAATAAACAATTGAATACGCAGCGGAAAACATTGTTTAAAACAAAAGGGCCACACAGGGCGAACATGAGCACGCAGGCTCTAAAGTAAAATATCCATGAGCAAGTTTAATATTATTTAAAAACAGAATGGAGGAAGCACGAACCAAGTCTTCTTTCCAAGGAATCACTCGATCAACGAGCACAGGAAGCAAGCTCTAGCCTCAACCTGAAATGGTGGTGGGACGCCCCCGAAGGGGTCAGTACTCTATACGACTATAAAGTACTGGTGTGGCAGGCATCTAATAGATATACAACAAGTATTTCAAACACAAGACCCTCAAGTAGGGTGATAGTACATTATGATTGTAACCCTAAGTTACCCCGTTTAAAAATATACTTACTTTATATAAAAGTCAAGTAGTCGGCCCGTGGGCCCGTTTTCATTTGGAAATCACCATTCCCAACCCCGTGGCTATAAGCCACGACAACTCCTAGAGTCCAACCCTAGTACATGACATTGTATTCTAGAGCTCGGCTCTACCACATCACCATACAATTCATATACCTCGGGTCAATTTCCTTACCTTGCGTTCTAGAGCTCGGCTCTACCACATCACCACGCAAGTCCTAGAGCTCGGCTCTAGCTATACAATACATAGACTCCAAGTCTACCCTTACATGCATTCTAGAGCTCGGCTCTATCACATCACCATGCATTAAGGTCCAATTCTCAAGCAATCCCTATGCCTAGAATTGACATATCATTAAACTACCATGGGTCATCCTTAAAGACTTCCCATAACTTAACCTTAGTTCCATACTAAGTTATTATATACACTTGAACTATATTCAAGCACCTTTCATACAATCCAATCCCTAGGATCAATTTAATCAATAAATCCCAATAATCATTAACTAGTATTTCAATACTATTAAGATTATTGTTATCAAACCATTATCCTTGTTATTTGTAATTCTCTACATATTTATAATTATGTAGCAGCAACTTAAACATTCATTCTCAATACACAAATATTCATTTATGTATCCACATAATTCATTCATGAGAAAAATGCCCATTTTCACAAATAGTTCATTTATACTCATTTAATCTCATATTATTCATACCTTCTCAAATCATTTCAAATTTCATTCTTTGGCAACTATATCAATATTTCATCAATATATAGCCATCATAATCCATGAAAAATCATGATTTAAGCATTTAGGTAATCTCATGCTTAACCTACAAGTTGTAAGCAATTAGATGTCAATCCTCACCTCAATTGAGCTTTAAACTTTCCCTTCTTGGTCCAATGGTCAAATCTTTGGTCAAGGTGGATTTGGGACTGATTCCTTGCTCAAATATGAGTGTTAAACAGCCTCCTCAAAGTGCTAGTTCAACCCTTAATCGTTGATACGAAAACAGCCCCTAGAACGGGTGTTTTCCGGCTAACTCGATTCCTAGTTTTCCAATATTTGCATCTAGGTTAGTATCTAACCTTTACATCAATAAGATAACTTTTTAGGGACATATTATACACTTGGATTAGTGTATAATAGTCTCACCAATCGTTCATATCATTTGGAGAATGAAAAGTAAAGCTTTGGGGTTAAAACTCACTTTAGAAGATTAAATCCTCTCCTGCGAGGTTGTGTTTTGCTCGGACGATTTGGAAGCCTTCCACAACTCCGATTCCTGCAAACCAGACCTTCACGGATTCCTCGTCTTGAGAGCTTTCTGTGGGTATCTCACACGCCTTAATTGGACTTGTAAAACTCGAGATATTGACCAAACAGTCTCAGCACTCTCACAGCTCGAGTTCACAGACCTCTGCTCGTTCCAGCTCGATTTTTGTAAGATAAGCCTTCTCTCCTAGAACAAAGACCACTCAATTGAGATAATAGACTTCAAAGGCTATCCAAGGACATATTACTCACGTTGTTTGGTCGAGTATAGCTTCTATAATGAGAGGAGACAAACAGCACACCAATTTGTGCGAAAATAAGGATGGTGGCCCAAGCTTTGATTCCTATCAAGTCATGTGCAGCTCCCCTCCATTATGGCCGGCCAAGGTAGGTCTTCTAACCCATTTTTATTTGTTTTGCAGGTACTAATATCATGTGGAGTGGTTCCCAATTGATCCCATTAATTTGGGGTCCAAAATATCTACCAATACTTCCAAAAATGGGAAGATGAGTCCTATTGTTTTATCTTTGTCAAAGATGTCTTTTTGTACTCATCCTAATTTATTTAGAACAAGTCAACTTCCTAAATCACATTATTGATCTCCAATATGTGTAGGCTCATCCCAATAATTTACTTGATGGATATTTTAGAAGGAAAATCCTACTCCCATTATTTAGCTCAATAATGCCAAAGATGGGGTTATAGACATTTGTATTCTCCTTTAATCATTCTTTCACTATTTAGGTAATGTTGGGCTTTCTTATTTATTAATAAGTCCCGAGTAAGTATTTGCGAAACCCGACACTAATGTACGAGTTTGAACAATACGATATTCAATCACGTACTTCGTAAAATATTAATCGTTTCTCCCATTGTTTTGAAATCGGAAATTCAATACATCACTTTTGAATTTTTAAATCGAATTTTCAAGGACGTTCGGGTGCGGTGTCACATACTAAATCAACCGAGTCACGAAGATTAGCTTAAATTTTGAATACAACATCGTATGATCTCATTTCGAGTTGCAATGGGTTCCCTATGCAAAAATACACAATTCTCGTTCACGACTCAAGTCCAAATTATGAATAGAAAAAAACATACAACTCTTCAGTGTTTTCAGGCTTACTAAATCAACCGAGTCATTAAGATTGACTTAAATTTTGAATACGACATCGTCTGATCTCATTTCGAGTTCCAATGGGTTCCTTATGCAAAAATACACAATTCTCGTTCACGACTCAAGTCCAAATTATGAATAGAAAAAAACATACAACTCTTCAGTGTTTTCAGGCTTACTAAATCAACCGAGTCACGAAGATTGGCTTAAATTTTGAATACGACATCGTATGATCTCATTTGGAGTTGCAATGGGTTCCCTATGCAAAAATACACAATTCTCGTTCACGACTCAAGTCCAAATTATGAATAGAAAAAAACATACAACTCTTCAGTGTTTTCAGGCTTACTAAATCAACCGAGTCACGAAGATTAGCTTAAATTTTGAATACAACATCGTATGATCTCATTTCGAGTTGCAATGGGTTCCCTATGCAAAAATACACAATTCTCGTTCACGACTCAAGTCCAAATTATGAATAAAAAAAACATACAACTCTTCAGTGTTTTCAGGCTTACTAAATCAACCGAGTCATTAAGATTGACTTAAATTTTGAATACGACATCGTCTGATCTCATTTCGAGTTCCAATGGGTTCCTTATGCAAAAATACACAATTCTCGTTCACGACTCAAGTCCAAATTATGAATAGAAAAAAACATACAACTCTTCAGTGTTTTCAGGCTTACTAAATAAACCGAGTTACGAAGATTGACTTAAATTTTGAATGCGACATCATATGATCTCATTTCGAGTTGCAATGGGTTCCCTATGCAAAAATACACAATTCTCGTTCACGACTCAAGTCCAAATTATGAATAGAAAAAAACATACAACTCTTCAGTGTTTTCAGGCTTACTAAATCAACCGAGTCACGAAGATTGGCTTAAATTTTGAATGCGACATCATATGATCTCATTTCGAGTTGCAATGGGTTCCCTATGCAAAAATACACAATTCTCGTTCACGACTCAAGTCCAAATTATGAATAGAAAAAAACATACAACTCTTCAGTGTTTTCAGGCTTACTAAATCAACCGAGTCACGAAGATTGGCTTAAATTTTGAATGCGACATCGTATGATCTCATTTCGAGTTGCAATGGGTTCCCTATGCAAAAATACACAATTCTCGTTCACGACTCAAGTCCAAATTATGAATAGAAAAAAACATACAACTCTTCAGTGTTTTCAGGCTTACTAAATCAACCGAGTCACGAAGATTGGCTTAAATTTTGAATGCGACATCGTATGATCTCATTTCGAGTTGCAATGGGTTCCCTATGCAAAAATACACAATTCTCGTTCACGACTCAAGTCCAAATTATGAATAGAAAAAAACATACAACTCTTCAGTGTTTTCAGGCTTACTAAATCAACCGAGTCACGAAGATTGGCTTAAATTTTGAATGCGACATCGTATGATCTCATTTCGAGTTGCAATGGGTTTCCTATGCAAAAATACACAATTCTCGTTCACGACTCAAGTCCAAATTATGAATAGAAAAAAACATACAACTCTTCAGTGTTTTCAGGCTTACTAAATCAACCGAGTCACGAAGATTGGCTTAAATTTTGAATGCGACATCGTATGATCTCATTTCGAGTTGCAATGGGTTCCCTATGCAAAAATACACAATTCTCGTTCACGACTCAAGTCCAAATTATGAATAGAAGAAAACATACAACTCTTCAGTGTTTTCAGGCTTACTAAATCAACCGAGTCACGAAGATTGGCTTAAATTTTGAATACGACATCGTATGATCTCATTTCGAGTTGCAATGGGTTCCCTATGCAAAAATACACAATTCTCGTTCACGACTCAAGTCCAAATTATGAATAGAAAAAAACATACAACTCTTCAGTGTTTTCAGGCTTACTAAATCAACCGAGTCACGAAGATTGGCTTAAATTTTGAATACGACATCGTATGATCTCATTTCGAGTTGCAATGGGTTTTCTATGCAAAAATACACAATTCTCGTTCACGACTCAAGTCCAAATTATGAATAGAAAAAAACATACAACTCTTGAGTGTTTTCGGGCTTACTAAATCAACCGAGTCACGAAGATTGGCTTAAATTTTGAATGCGACATCGTATGATCTCATTTCGAGTTGCAATGGGTTCCTTATGCAAAAATACACAATTCTCGTTCACGACTCAAGTCCAAATTATGAATAGAAAAAAACATACAACTCTTCAGTGTTTTCAGGCTTACTAAATCAACCGAGTCACGAAGATTGGCTTAAATTTTGAATGCGACATCGTATGATCTCATTTCGAGTTGCAATGGGTTCCCTATGCAAAAATACACAATTCTCGTTCACGACTCAAGTCCAAATTATGAATAGAAAAAAACATACAACTCTTCAGTGTTTTCAGGCTTACTAAATCAACCGAGTCACGAAGATTGGCTTAAATTTTGAATGCGACATCGTATGATCTCATTTCGAGTTGCAATGGGTTCCCTATGCAAAAATACACAATTCTCGTTCACGACTCAAGTCCAAATTATGAATAGAAAAAAACATACAACTCTTCAGTGTTTTCAGGCTTACTAAATCAACCGAGTCACGAAGATTGGCTTAAATTTTGAATGCGACATCGTATGATCTCATTTCGAGTTGCAATGGGTTTCCTATGCAAAAATACACAATTCTCGTTCACGACTCAAGTCCAAATTATGAATAGAAAAAAACATACAACTCTTCAGTGTTTTCAGGCTTACTAAATCAACCGAGTCACGAAGATTGGCTTAAATTTTGAATGCGACATCGTATGATCTCATTTCGAGTTGCAATGGGTTCCCTATGCAAAAATACACAATTCTCGTTCACGACTCAAGTCCAAATTATGAATAGAAGAAAACATACAACTCTTCAGTGTTTTCAGGCTTACTAAATCAACCGAGTCACGAAGATTGGCTTAAATTTTGAATACGACATCGTATGATCTCATTTCGAGTTGCAATGGGTTCCCTATGCAAAAATACACAATTCTCGTTCACGACTCAAGTCCAAATTATGAATAGAAAAAAACATACAACTCTTCAGTGTTTTCAGGCTTACTAAATCAACCGAGTCACGAAGATTGGCTTAAATTTTGAATGCGACATCGTATGATCTCATTTCGAGTTGCAATGGGTTCCCTATGCAAAAATACACAATTCTCGTTCACGACTCAAGTCCAAATTATGAATAGAAGAAAACATACAACTCTTCAGTGTTTTCAGGCTTACTAAATCAACCGAGTCACGAAGATTGGCTTAAATTTTGAATACGACATCGTATGATCTCATTTCGAGTTGCAATGGGTTCCCTATGCAAAAATACACAATTCTCGTTCACGACTCAAGTCCAAATTATGAATAGAAAAAAACATACAACTCTTCAGTGTTTTCAGGCTTACTAAATCAACCGAGTCACGAAGATTGGCTTAAATTTTGAATGCGACATCGTATGATCTCATTTCGAGTTGCAATGGGTTCCTTATGCAAAAATACACAATTCTCGTTCACGACTCAAGTCCAAATTATGAATAGAAAAAAACATACAACTCTTCAGTGTTTTCAGGCTTACTAAATCAACCGAGTCACGAAGATTGGCTTAAATTTTGAATGCGACATCGTATGATCTCATTTCGAGTTGCAATGGGTTCCCTATGCAAAAATACACAATTCTCGTTCACGACTCAAGTCCAAATTATGAATAGAAAAAAACATACAACTCTTCAGTGTTTTCAGGCTTACTAAATCAACCGAGTCACGAAGATTGGCTTAAATTTTGAATGCGACATCGTATGATCTCATTTCGAGTTGCAATGGGTTCCCTATGCAAAAATACACAATTCTCGTTCACGACTCAAGTCCAAATTATGAATAGAAAAAAACATACAACTCTTCAGTGTTTTCAGGCTTACTAAATCAACCGAGTCACGAAGATTGGCTTAAATTTTGAATGCGACATCGTATGATCTCATTTCGAGTTGCAATGGGTTTCCTATGCAAAAATACACAATTCTCGTTCACGACTCAAGTCCAAATTATGAATAGAAAAAAACATACAACTCTTCAGTGTTTTCAGGCTTACTAAATCAACCGAGTCACGAAGATTGGCTTAAATTTTGAATGCGACATCGTATGATCT